CAAGTGCAATAATATTAAAGTAAAAATACATACGCCGAAATATTTTATCAAAGAAAAAAAAAAAAAGGCCGGCATGGCCAGGTGGTTAGGGCACTCGACTCGTAATCTGAGGGTCCCGGGTTCGAATCCCCTTCCCGCCAAACATTCTCGCCCTTTCAGCCGTGGGAGCGTTATAATGTGACGTCAATCCCACTATTCGTTGGTAAAAAAGGTAGCCACTGCTAAATTAGGGACGGCTGTGCAGATATCCCTCGTGTAGCTTTGCGCGAATTTAAAAAACAATTTATAAAAAATTACGCACCATTTCTAACACATGTCCTGTTCCATAAACCACACAAAGAAAAGGTAAACCTATTAACTCTTATAGGTTTGACCACAACTATATATAGAGAATGTCAGTATTACATCTATATCAACTCTGTTATTTGGACATTTTTAATTTTTACGTCACTACATTATTCTATCTATTTTATAGGTTAGCTTCACCACAAAGATTGAAAACAAGCACATCAATAATGGCTTCAACCATTGAAGTGTATGAAATCTTTGATATTCAATTTTAGACATTTATATTTGTTTACTATTCAAGTTTTCTACTAAATAAATATGATTTCACATAAATTCATGATTTCACTATCTATTGTTTCGTGTATAATAAACACGATAGTTGTGAACTTCCATTCCTTGCGGCATCTATATATTTTTCTTTATCCTAGCAGGATCCACACGATAAACAGACTTCATAAAAGGAAACTTAGAATGTTTTTCTTGAGTAATACTCCATGTACATGAGTTCTTCTAACTGCTATATCCAAGATTTTAAGGTCTACAATAACTAACCTATAACGGAATTTTTAAAACAATTTCGTTTCCATGATTAGATAACACTTCTGAGAACCTCTGGATAAACACAAATATCATGTACTAAAATGTGTTTTGTTTGTTTGACTTAGTGCAAAGCTACACGATAGGTTATCTGTACTCTGATCATTACGGGAATTTTAGCGTTCGAAGTCGTTAAATTTGTGGTTGATCCTTTCGAGCACCAATGTGTTTCTCTTATTGTGCATTATTAGGTTGATTGATACATGTGTTTATCGTATTGTGAGACTGAAGATATGAATTCCCTGTGACATATTTTCAAAACGCATAGAACTGGACTTAAGCTTTGATTGGTATGTCGGGATTAAGATTAAAACGTTCGAGCCAATGACGTGTCACTGAACACAATTTACGCTTTCAGCTGTGGGTGCATTATAAAATAAACTGTCCATCCCACTACTCTGTTAAGATTAGTCAAGTGGGCAACAGGCGTTGTTGACTGGTTGTCCTCCTTCAGGGACAACAGTTCTAATTTAGAACGGCTGTTCTCGCTCTTTGGGTTTCTTATCTGGTAGTTTAGTTCATGTGTCGAATAAGGTACCGCTTAAGTTGAAAACACAAGTGTCAAAAATACAATTTTTATGTATATCGCAAAAAACCTTTATATAATAGCAAGTGGCGTATCCAGGATTACCTGAGGGGAGGGGAGATGGCAAAGTCTTGTTGGCATTTGAGCATGCAAACGCTAGAGGTACCTGACGAAGTAGAGACTTCAGAAGGAATATTAAAAGAAATATTACAACACAAATATTATCCCCACTTTTTCAAAGAAAGTATAACTTTCAACTTCCTTTTCAATGGAATGTTAGAAATCACATGACATTTAACCACTTTGATCTAGTCCAGTAAATATTATTTGTATTAATTAACTCAAACAACAATCGGTAGAACCACAGAAAGTAGCCGTAGAGCCAGTGTTTCTCAACATACTGTCTCCTTGACTTAATAAGTGATTAGATGAGACACATTCTCAACATACTGTCTCCTTGACTTAATAAGTGATTAGATGAGACACATTCTCAGGATATTGTATCCTTGACTTAATAACAGTGGTTAGCTGAGACACATCCTCAGGATATTGTATCCTTGACTTACTAACAGTGGTTGGCTGAGACACAGTCCTCAGGATA